TAGAATGTGTTTTCATCCCTTCACCTTTTTCACACATTTTGTTGAATTATTTTAAAATGAACATCTGTGCAGTTTTTTATTCCAAAGTGTCAGCAAGGTCAGATTTAAAATGTCCTTCATGGAGATATATATATATATACAGTGCATGGAGGGTGATGTTATAGCACTCAAGCAATAACATCAAGTGGTTCTTAGAGAAAACCACCTCAGCTACGCTGCAGACGTCAGATGAGGGTGAAGAGTAGCCTTCAAACACAATCTACCCGCACATTTCTTTAGAGCATATCGAGAATATTTATAGGGAAACAGAGCTAGACACAATTCTACTTGACGCACTACTAGCTGAAGCCATTAATCTGCTTTGTCGCTGATGACAGAGGGAATAAGGAAGACGGTAGATGTTAGCTTCTGCAGTACTGTCTCCAATGTGTGCATTAATGCACATTGAGGCATGCTTTTCCGATCAAAATGGGAAGTTAGACACATTTAAAGGAGGTCTCAAGCATTTGTGAATTTTATTTATGGGCTGTTGTACCTAACCTCTGTGGATCCACTGTGGGTTGGTGACCTGAAGCAAACAAGGTAGCAAAGGAGTGAACAAAGACCTAGACATGCTGTTTTTTACACTGCCCACCCATCCTGCCCGACCCTGTCAGGATCTGGAGCAAAAATGGAAGAAAAGACTCAAAAACTGCTGTGCCAAAAAGACCCTCTGTGATTGGTGCCAAAGAGGCTTTAAGAAAAATATTAAGGCCCATATTATCAATTGCACATCTTTCCAAAAAGCTATTTTGCTTGGTCATTATGGCGTGCTGTGCTGTGATCTCTGAGACAGAAGAATGCACAATAAATCTACAAAGTAACAAAATGTGGACAAAGTGAATGGGTGTGAACACTTCTCTGCGCCACTTAAAGGAGACAAAAAGCTCTGGCTCATTGCATCAAACCACAGAAATGTCCAGGACTTCTCCACCATCACTTCAAAAGCTCTTGCTGCAATCCTGAGCAAAGAACTAGAGACGAGGAATGCAGCAGCTGAGACATGAGAAGAGATGACTCACCAGTAGAATCTGTTCGGGGTGACGTGTTCGTGGATGAGCATCCATTTCCTTCCAAAGTCAACTGAGCTGTACAACTGCAGGAAAAACAGAGACACAGGGACGTTAGTTGGGTCAACATATACATCTACATCTGTCAGGTCTTTTAATCACGCCAGCTGATGTAAAACAGCCACAAGTGAGCCAGAGATGTGGCTGCTTAGTTCCAGGCTGGAGGATAGTCTGCAGCTATGAAGCATCCTCCAAGGAGATGACAACAGAATCGCTTTCAGCGTTAACAACCGGCCAATCACGCTAACAGATTATGACAAATATATGCATCTCTGTTCCCTGCGGTACAAACAACAGGCTCGTTGTTTTCAGCTTACATAGCAAAGAATCTTATTTGATAGGCACGTCAAATACTGGCTACCAAACCACTTTATTCTGTACCAGTGCAGAGGACAACAGATGCAAAATATGATGTATGGTTCACCAGATGTGCAGGTGTAGCTTGTGGCCCAATTCCGATGTACTAATTATATTTACAGGCGCCCCGGCAACCAATTAATGACCCTTTTGTGCTTCCTAGCACTACACTGATCGATGATGATGGAGCACCTCACATATTTCTGGCAGCCTTTGTGCATCTATCCAGCCGGTACTTGTGAAGTTTAGCAAATGCTCCAATTTGATAGATTTTAATCACAGCATTAATAAAAATGTAAAGATTTTTAATTTGAAAGCATTGTTTCTATGCTAGACCTTTATTTATACAGGCCGTCTCAGTGAGACGAAGGTCTCATGGAGAAGAGAGGCCTGTTGTGAAAAACAAACAACGTACAACCACAGTAACGACAAATAATTAGGACTTCTGACATGGATAAATAAGCTCAGAAAATAAAAAAAATAAAAAATACAGCAAGTTTCAAGAGATTTCTCTTTTTGTCTTAAAAGAAATTTCAGTTCAAAGTGGATAATTTCAGGTCCTGCTTCAGAGCAAGAAACTGAGCTTGATAAAAAAAAAAATAAAGAGAAGAAACAGCTCATTGTTTTACTCTTAGCTAAATACAGACCTGCAGCTTCCACTACTGAGAACCATTATTTGGTCTCTCAATGTTTAAAATGCTGCAGTCGCTCACATTTGGCCGTGACGCATGTAATGCACCAGTTTGACGCTGTAAAGCCTCCTGGAAACCGTCTGCTTCACAAAGACAGAAGGGACGAGACAAATGGATAGCTGTTAATGTTGTTCAATATTTGGAAGCAATATTAAACAATATTAAAAAAAGGAAAACTTGCTTCCAAATATTGAATAACATATTTGGAGGAGTGTGTATCATCTGCTCTGGATCTTCTACAGTATGGTAGGAGCAATCCCAGGATAGCTTTATGAATACAAATATAGCCATGCATGAGTCAATGATCTGATCTTTTATTACCTGAATGGTATGTTACAGGTAATAAACCTGGAACTTTCCATTTGTAACTTTTGTTAGCAGCATGCTTATGAGGATGATTGACAGCACAAACTTCCCTCCTGGCTCTGGTTGTTTTTGACCAGCAGGGTTCTATTTTTGCAGACTGCAATAGTTACTTACTGCACAATGATAGACAGCAACCAGCATGTGGAGACAGGTGTGTTCATTTAAACAGTAATTTAACAGAGGTAAGGTCATTAAACCAAGATGATTCTCAGCACTTAGAACATGATCTGTTTCTGAAGAAAGTGCAGTTTTATCTTCAGCATCTTCAACATTTTCAATATGTGATTTAAATGAATGTTTGCTGCCGATTTCTATGCCAAGTTACGTTTCCAAGACGTGTCTCAGCATCACATCTTCACCTGCATGTGCACTTTTCATTGAACTGCTGCAGTTTTCTCATCTGACTGCTGAAGGTTTTTCAGGACAATCACATTTAGTTCAATCAGATTCCTTGCAACTCACACATCCACTCTGCAAAAAAAGTTATTTCCTAAAAAAAAAAAAAAAAAAAAAAAAAAAAAAAAACTTGTTTGATTTGAGCCTGACGCAGAAAGAATGAAATGTAATATGGAACAGTTCTTTAAATCAGAAGGAGAGATGAGCTGAGGAGAGATATCCAACCCAGCTGGTGTCAGCCGGTTTCAGAGACCAGACTTCATCTCTACAATTTACTCTGTACAAACGATCAATGTCGCATTAAACCTCTGATTAGCCCAGGTTAATCAGAGGTCAATTTAAATTATTCATTTTTGATGGGAATCAACAGCCATGTTCTTTTATGAAGCTGTCAAACATGAGTAAATATTGAAAATAAATGTTGATTTATGATTAATGCAAATTAAAATGTTAGACATTTAATGAAACATAAGATACAATTATGTAGAGTTACATTCATGTTCATTGCAAAGCATGGAGACATGTCTCTGCTGTTAGTGAGCTCCAAGGTCTAAATGACACAACCTGCAGAAACAAAAGTCAAATTTAAAAAATGTGGCATGCTTGGAGATAGTTTGCAAAATAAAACAATATTTAAAAAACTTTCCATGTTCTGATTTTAGCCAAAAGCAGAAAGTTATGACATTGTTAACTTTTTCAGTTTAGCTGTGAATGTTTGCTGGAGTCTCTTGTGAAGAAGATTTTTAATCTTTGAGATTTTCCTGGTGAAATTAAGGTTAATAAAATAAATCTGCATTCCATGGATGACAAATGTTTATTTTTTAATCAACACAATAGTTAAAAACAATGTGCTCTGCAACAGTCTGCGTCTTTAATCTTTTAAAGTTTGAGTGCTATGTTTTCAGCTGTAGAACCAAAAATAATGTCTCTAAATATTGACACATATAACTTGAACTCCAACATCCAGCAGATGAGATGCGAGTTCAGGTCAGTGAGTTAGTGCTGCTGAAGCTGGCCAACAGGCAGCGTCCCTCATCCCTTCGGACAGAGACATATGACTGCAGCTCCCAGCTCTCCTCCCTCCCTTTGTCAGGTCAATGACATCTTCAATTTTAAAGCTTCTGGGCTGTCACAAAGTAAGCTTCATAGTTTCTCCTTTCGATAAATCAAATGCATGGCCAGCTGCCACCGGAGTCGGGAACAAAAACGCTCACTGAGGAATCACAGGAAGTTCTGTTTGTTAAGGATTCACTGAGAAGACGGAGGAGCAGGTCCAACTGGCAAACAGGTCAAAGAAAATTATTTCCCACAAGTTAATGAAAGATTTCTGAAATCACACTTTATTACATCTTGACTGACGGCTTGTTAAATGACCTGCAGGTATTTTAACAATTCATTTTCCCTCTGATTTCCGGGTTTATAATTGTTCTCCTGTTATATCCTGGATGTCAGGTGTGTGTGTTTTCTGAACCTGTTATAATAAAAGGGAAAAACGCTGGGAATTCTCGGCTTTTGTTTCATGAATAAGAGACAGAATATCACTGAGAAAAAAACATTACTGAAATAATTCCACCTGATGTTGGTTTGGAGCTGCTGTCAATATTTAGCAGGCTGATGTTTTTTTCCTGAGGCAGCGTCTCTCATGCCATCCAAGTGCAACAGATATTATATTTAGAGTCACAAACTATCTCTTCTTTACTAAAAAATGTCTTTCATAGGGACTCGGTGTGACAATGACAATTATGATGTAAATTATGAATATTGCTTTCAATCAAGCTCAAATCATTATTAATATTAATATTCCAGCATTAATTTTGAAATAAACATCATTATGGAAGATGACATGTTGACAAGAGGTAAAAATCAAAACTGTATCAATTAAAATGTCAGAATGGGTGAGCAAAAAGGTAAATTATTATACAGATGGTCATGATTCATTTTTTTCTTTCAGCTTATTAAAAATTATCAGCAGAAGCTTCATCTGATCTGGAATCAGTTTCTCTGATATAACAGGAATTTAATGGAGAAACTTAAAGGTGGAACAAACATGTCTGCAACAGAGCAGCAGACGGTTTTTACTTTTATATCTGACTGGTTCATGTCTGAAGTGAGTAACAGAACATATGCAAGATGCCAATCCATTTATTCTGAAAACCAGTTCAACCAAATACCAGTTCAATCCAAATATAATATGTGTGATGTCATGTAACTGCCTGCAGAAAAAGCCAACAGACGGCACTGCCTCCGTCTTTCTGAGCATGCTCAGAGCAGCAGACGAAAGAGGAAAGGAAAACTTCTGAAAACTAAAAGAGACGTCCAGCAGAACCAGACCAAGGCGGAGCGGCCATCTGCTTCAGCCAGCTGGAGGACCGCTTCCTTCAAACACTCCAGACTCCAGATGAAAACCTCCATACAGGCTAACGCTGCAGTTCAGCAGCTGGATTGGAGCAGGCTCTGAAGCGGGCTTCTGGAGGGTTCCTGCTTTGGAGAAAATATGCATCCAGACACTTTTTTGACAAAATGTTTAACAGCTTGAGGCAGATTGACTTGGCGGAAACAGAGAATCCAAATGAAAAAAGCTAATTACTTCTGCTAGAGTAATCAGAGGCGTGACAAAATGTTTTCATTCAACAGCTGAACATTGTGCAGCTGTAGAACAATCCTTAAAACCAGTAGATTACTGGAAATAATGACAAATCTAGTTTGAGAAGAGGAATAAACACAGGAACACTGCTGAACATTAAAGAAGAAAAACTGCATCAGCCTGTAATTTGCATTTCTGAAACAAATACCTGAACAAGTCAACTTCTGCAGATTGAATGTACAAATCTGCAGTTAGAAAAGTCTTTGCAGACAACAAGCTGCTGCATCTGACTGGCAGGAACCGTGATCATCCATGCACATGCAAAAGACGATCTTCTGAATTTTCTTGGAAACATGCCACTATACTATACTCTGTATCCTATTCTTGTATAAACGATTCCAATAAATACATTTGTATGTGAATTTAATGTGGCTAAATGTGGGTAAAGAGACATGAATAACTTTGAAAAATTTGTAATTAAAAAACAAACAAACAAAAAACCATTTAAAACAGCAGGATGTTCAGCTGTTAAATAAAATATTTTTGTGTCAAATCTGTGATTTTTCTTCTGCTTTATTTTGCAACAATGTAAACATTGACTCAACCATCTCCAGTAGTGATTCCACAGTTT